ACTCACGGTCTCTCTTCAGGCTAGCACGTAGTATCGCCCTAAGGTTTTTCGGAGTCTCGTTGAGTTCGCTTCCAGCCGAAATGTGCCGGCAAGCAACGAGGAGTTCCAGCGACTGCGTAGAGACCCAATATCCAAGCTTTCACTTTGACCTATCAAATGAAGATATGTCTGCTGATAATATGATTCGTCGAATATACGTCCAGTGACGTTCAAATTTATCAGCTAGCGCGTACTCAACGCGCACTTTGATATGCATTCAGAACCCCTGAGTTTGCTGTTTGTTTGACGCCTATACGTTCACAGCGTCGTCGCAAGTGTTCACCGAAGCGAACCAGAAAATCAGCACATGCTAATGCCTGGGCGGAGTCCACGCTTGTGCTTCAAATCGAGCGACAGTTTTTGACGCAGTCTCTATGGCGGTGACTGATCGCGATTCCATCAATTTGCGTCCATGACTGGTGCGATGCTGTTGGGTACCTTGTCACCCTCCGGCGGGTGCTGTGTCGGAAGTTAGGGCACGCGAGACAGGTACTGTAACCGCTCACTGTTTTCATTACGGTCGTCTACAACGCGTTGTCTGCCTAAATGTAGCTCATCAGTGCACAGCTTTCCAAATTGGGAGTTCGGATCACCAGCAACCACCACAGTATCCGTACTTCTCCTGTAACGATGAGATCGTTCAGTTGGTGGTCGAAACCATCCTTCATCGAATCAACGCTACAGTTTTTGGACCGCAAAGTCAAACAGGTACCGTTCGCGCGCGATTTCGAAGCCCTGAACAAGCCATTCAGTCTGAAGACGCAGATCCGGATTCTGACTGACATCCAATCGACCAGAGCAGCTTCATCCCGGGGACTCAGAGCAATACCCACGCCGGCATTTGTAGCTGAATCATATCCGGATAGACGCAATGAGAATCCACCGTCTGTATCACATGAAGGCGAGCATAGATTGAACACAGAGCTCGTTTTACTGGTGGGTTTTAGATAAGCAGCAGATATCGATCGATAGGGCCTCTAGTGCGAACTGATTTGCGATAAGGTGTGCACATTCACTCATGCCAGTATTAACGAGAATCAACGGCTCCAAATAGAGTTGGGCACACTGAGGTTGTCTGTATGTTTGCATTAACTAGTCGATGGGGGAGGGGTGACGATCCCCTACAGCGTGTGAGTTGAAAGTAGAAGACAAATGATGGTGGAAGCAAGATCGGGGTGGGTCAAGAATTGGGAGTTAAAATCAGTGGGGGATTGCAGTGAAGGTGAAACTAGCTGACAAGGAACAACTAAGGCAAAATGGGCAGTAAAAAGCTGGGAAAATTTAGTATTGGCACTCTCCCCCCCCTATCATCCCTGCTCTATGCAGTAGATAGGGAGCTTCTGATTATCATTTTCGGAGACCAGCGCATCAAAAAATTGTGTGAAGAGAAATTCATTATAATGCGTGGGCAGGATACTATCAGTCTGACCAGACCTAGACAGGAGAACGATTAAGGTTCTCAGCCAAAGCTTTTGTTTCAAAAACTTGTTCCCAAAGCAGCGGATGCTTAGTGGTGGAGCACAGGGATTCCGTTTTAAGGAATAACGAGTCAATCCCAAACCTAGTGGAGCTGAAGACTGCGTTTTTCTAGCTTCTAATCAATGACCAATCTGGTGAGTTGCACTGAAGTTAGAAAATGCACGGAAACCAACGCATCACCCTAAGGTTCGGTCTCATCGTGATGGGGACATTTTTATTGCACGCATCAGTCCCGTTTCCGATCAAACAGCACACAACATTGATCACATGTCCGATTATTGTCATATATATACCTCGTCAAAAACGAACCGTACCACTGCCCAGCAACAACGTAACCCTGAGCAAATTTACGCTGTGTTCTGCTGCGCCTACAAGTTTTCAACTGAGGCGTGGCTCGTCAACAATCGTTGGAGAAATTGGGGATAGCATCAGATTAAACTGGATCTTATGAGAGAGTGAAGCTGTATCGGTAGTAATCAGCCGAATTTTATACGCGGGGCTAAAATAACAAGTCAAGAAACAGCGCAGATTGGAATCTATATCCAACAAAATGGTGAGTTACGCATGGTGCTGTCTCCTCCGGGTCTACATTTGTCCCCGATACCAGGTTGCATGGACATCACAACGCAAATTAAGTTGGTTATTGACACGTCTAGGAAGCCGGCTAAGAAACCATCGCGAGTGCATCTGTTGATGATTCCAATGGCTCAAAAGTATAATAAATCTCTGTTGATGCAATTATTAAGTTCCCTGTTTGCCTAGACCATCTGTTATGCGCAGAATCAAGCACATATCGGTCAGTAAGTAGTCAGGCCTCGAACTGATGCTCGTACCTGGGGTAACGCATGCACCCAACTGTTAGAACTAGTCATGCATTCCGTCAATGAATAGCAAACAAGGAAATTTAAGGGAGGTGGTTAAACAAGATTACCAGAGGAAAAACGTAGGCGCGCGACATCTGAGCAGAAAGGAGTTCTGGAACCAAACTAGGTTCAATGCAGTTCAATATATAAATTATGATCCCTGCACCGGAGTGCACGTCGCTGCAAAAACAGCAGTGGCGATAAGCACGGTAAAATAAACATTCAGAAAGAATGGAGGCAAATCAAAATCGTCTGGCAGAAAAGAGTACGACATAAGAGTATGAATGGAAGTCAGCCGCTGCTTTCATGGTCGCGCCATATCCTACGGGCACTCAACCACTGATTTGGCCGAGTCCAAGGGGTCAGCCCAGGAAGAAGCCAAGAAATAACAAGGTCAAACGCCTCAGTGTGGTTGACCATGCTCTTTTGGCATTCGAAGTACCGACAACCTCTGGGATTCACTCAAAATGATGCAGTATTGGTACACAATGCACGCATAGACCACCGCGTTTCGGACATGCGGCGAACACTGACTGATACGAGATCAACGAGCAATCTAGTGAAGCAACAGATGGCTTGTTTCCAAACAGTTTCAGTGCAAATTTTCAGCAAACGGGACTGCATTAAAGTAGCGAACAACTAGATAAATTAACATAGACGAGTGAGGGCAGTAATGGGCACACAAGGATTGCACCTAACTTGGTCGGGACAAAGCCAGTGCTCAGATTTAAGGTAAACGTTGAGAGTATGCCCGTTTGGCTTTGCTAAGAGGTCACTCCTCATTGCGTTTGACATCAGTAAGATAAGTTCTTTTCTAGCAGTCTTTCAAAACCAACAACCATAACAGTATAAACGGTCCAAAGAGGGAACATCTGTCCAAAAATCTGTCCCTGTCCTCCTACAACTTGTGCTAATGGAGCAATAGGGCCATAGCAATCCATCCACTGGATTTTTAGCAATGAACATTCCCCGAAAAAGTTTCCACCCATCACTTCACACAGTGCATTCAAGATAAAGCATACCTTCACAAGCGCAAAGAATCTCTCATATATGTATCACAACGTACCAGGGAGTCCCGAATGAGCAGGAGGCACATATCGGAAATATTTTGGTGACCCAAACCCCAGCATCGTAAAATAGCCGCAGATTTGGCGTAGGTATGCTTTCACTCTGAAATGAACCGGATAGATGGAAACCAGGAGGTTTCCACAGAGTTCATGACTATCCGCCATCTTTTTCAAATAAAAGCGTTGACATAAACTGTCTCAAACGTGGTGTTCATCTCCTTCCATACACAGTTCGACCGGTACGTACAGTAGAATGCCACGTCAGTCACAACGAAGCATTGAAGGTTAGGCATAACCAAATCTGATTTATAATGCTCTAATCGGCAGAGGTGTTTGGCACGGTGAGGGGTAACGGGATGCATGCAGCCCCGCAAGTTGATCAAGCCAGCTCATAATGCGATCGCGGTGAGAGCATCAGGTGCCTTGTGTATTACTGTATGGCTATACTGTAGGACCAAAGGATCGAGTGCACCCGCAAGCATCACATCAACTTGTATCAACCGTACTGATTACGGCCTCACGGTTAGCTTGTAGAATTGTAAATAGGACTCCACCCTCCATTTGTTTAGTACCTGCATACAACCACTCAGGGCGCTTGGGTCATTTATTGCCTGTGTTATCTTGAGGGTACGGATGGACCGATGAAAACTCCGACGAACTCTTCAACGGCTAAAGCCTAACCAACAAGTAGTTCAACATTTAAGTATATCACTTCTTTACCTCTCCTCACGGGCAAGCTCCCGCTATAAAAACAGACTACTTTTAAGTTATTATGAAGCAAATATCTGAGCTGAGGCTTTCACCAACGGAGTGAACCAGTTTCTTTGAGCGAAAGGATATCAGTAGCAAGTGCTCAAACACCAAATTCTCCTTTATATCCCCCAAAGTGGAACTGTGTTGTCGTTGTTGTGGTCAACGAGGCGAAACGAGTGTTTCATAGCTCCATGAAGCATTGAGTCGACTTGGGGTGCCCCAGTGTACTTTGAAAGTGCAAAGCACATGCCGGCGCTTGCGATCGACTAATTTAGTTTGACTCCGCAACTACTACCACAACGTTGAACGCATCCGCCGAATAGCTTGTAGTTTAGTCACTGAATCACACTTACAAACAAGTCCCGTATATTCGCTTCAGATAAATCCTATGACATCCTCGTAAATAGTGTATATTTCAATCATTGCATTACTATGACCACATTGCATCTGACTGTATCGGAATTTAACTGGTTTATCGGACATTATAGACTGACTCGGTTGAAAACAAGGCATTGAGCTGCCACTGATTTCCTACCAGCGTTTGTCTGTGAAGAACAAGCTTTGTACTCTTTCACGAGTTTGAATTTTGCCTTAGTCGCTGACTGATAATCGCAGTTTAATCATGCAAGCATCACTTGTTACGCGATCCAAAATGACGTATTTGTATTCTTGCGAATGATGCTGAAGTTCTTCGCACAACCACGATCACTGATATGCTTGCATTAAAGTAGGCCACATCCAGCAAGCATCAGGATCACTTACACGCAGAAAATGATGTAATTCCTTTTCTGATTCATAGATCTAAAAGAACAGATGCTTTGCCTCCGGATCATGTTTTATCCGCCAAATCCCCTTAATGAATTCAAAGACACCAAGTCCAAGTGAGCTATTTATTTTCTGTTCACTGTTTATCCATTGACAAAAGTTACAGTTTTTCCGCTTATCCACCACCTGTAGTCGTCATAGCTCCATAACGTGACTGGTTCTAACATTGGGGATAGATCACTTGCTGTTTGAACTCGGTTATGTATAGATACATTTCAACATACTAAACAAATCATCGGCCCAACTTTTCGAATAGTCAATGATCTGACTGCGATTTATTTCCGACAACAAAAATCCAAGGCGTTTAGTTCACCTTACTTTTATCAACCCGAAACATTCTCCAAAGTCCCAGAAGCTCATCGACCTATCTATACATGTGACAGTGAATTACATGCCATTTCTTGTCGCCGGGTAAAATATTCATATGCTCCAGCGGGTTAAAATGTGATGTGGAAATACTAGTCCGGGACAAAGAATTCCTCAAATATAGGCACATTCAAGTGGTCAACGAGACATAAAAACTCGAAATCTTTTGAAACACTGGTAGCCCGGTTTGCTTGTTCATCTGCTGCTTAGTTCGCCGGGCATGATTAAATATTTGCATACTTATCGTCACCACACGGGATGGCATGTTCAGTCCGATTATGTGTGTTGGGCAATCTTGTCTATTAACTCGTCCTTCCGTGATCGACAGTCAAGTCAACTCAAGTCAAAATAAGCTTTATGAACCCTAATGCGTTCATTCTCAGCATTTACTACAGCACTTCGAACACCTGAATGATAATATCAATATATATGCTTGGGAAGAAAAATGGGGAAAATGTACAACTGTTACTCCTACGACCACTTGCGCAGCATATTAGTGACTTTCGCTGTGTTGACAAGCAAACGCGGAAGATAAGGCAAAACAGTATTACGATAAGAGGACGTGCGGGAGAATAAAATGCTGCATTTCGAACGAGTAGAAGAGAAGGAGAGTGTTTTGAAAAGATCATTATGAAGTGGATGAAATCGCTCAGTTAGTGCCTTATAAGAAAAATCATTGCAAATATCAAGATGTCTAGGAATGAGCAAATCAACTAAAGAATCCCTAGGCAAGCCGCTGCATCTAGTAATGTGCTTAATAGGTCTCACCAATAAGACCTAGTCTCTCTGAAGCAGTCCAGGGAAAATGACAGGAGTGCCGTACAGACAATGGGGAATAATACAAGAGGTCACAAAGCTGAATATTAAAGTACTTGGTACCGAAAACACCTTAAGTCTGAGGGCATAAAAAGAAAATTTTCTGACTTTTTCAAACGTTTTACAGACCTGTGTAGACCAAGAAAGTTCTGTGACAAAAAGATGCCAAGATGCTTGACGGTGGAAAAGCGGGGTATGGGATTTTCATTTATCGTAAGAGTGGGGGAGAAATCAACGACGGATTGCAGCTTATTGCCGCAGAAAAAAGAGAATATTACATCACCGCCTACAGAAGCATTAATCCTAAGAGATCTAGATGAAGACCATTGCAGCAGATCTTCCAACGCACGTTGAAGTGATGGAGACTCCAGATTAATAGGGGTCATACATCCCAGCACAACATCATCAGCATATAAACATGAGTTGTGTAGGGAGATGTTCAACATACAAGGAAAAGGTGATAGGATCGTTCCCTACAGAACACCACAGTCGGCATGGATGATAGAGGATTTCTTACCGTTTAACTTGGGGAAATGAGTACGATCCGTGAAATAGTCACGTAACAGGTTACCGACGCCCGGGTGAATGCCATTTCTGGTTAGCAGGTTTAGTAACATTGACCTAACCAGAATTCCGAAGGCATTCGTATAATCCAGGAAGAGAAGCTGTAGGAATTTGCATTTTTGATCTAATGCAGCGGCTATAGAATGAACAAGATCTGCCACTGCATTCAATGTGGAGCGCTGTGGTCTATACGCAAAAGCATAGATATCGTCTCCAGGAGCCGCTGGCCGAATCCGCGGAATTAACAGTCTTTCGCAAACTGTTAGAAGCATGATTGTACATGCAATTGGGCGATACTTTTGAGATCCATTTTTTGGTACTGGGGTTAAACTGGCGGTTTTCCAAATAGCTAGGTTCACGCCCGTAGTGAAGCATTTGTTAAAGAGCTCTGTTAAAGACAATGTGAGAGAATCAGCACATTCCTTCAAAGCTAATTTTGTGAGAGTATCCGCACCACAAGCTTTGTTTACCTTTGCTCTTTTGAGTTCATTGTGAACGTTGTTTCGATCGAGGAGCGCATCCGGACTTGAGCTAATGAACAGGGGCAACGAAGATGAGACTAATGAGGCGGAACTAAACTCCGAACTCAGTTTCTCCACACCCACTTCACTGCTCTGTCTGCAAACTCTCTCACCAAAGAGCTGCCTCAGAATTCTCCCTAGATCGAGACAGTTATGGTTGCCTAGAACTGCTTCGATGTGTAAGAGGTTTAAACTTTTTTTATCTCGGATTTATTTGATGTGGTTAGGCTTTTGACACGGGTAACATTCTTGCACTTGTAAGCCCATTTTTTCATTCGTTGAAGCCACTTTAGTAGTGGTGACAAAAATATATCTGCTCTTATATAGATCGTTTCGACAGGGCAGCACATGTCAAAGCAATATTTGATGTATTCCGTAAGATTGGCACATTAAAGCGACAGGTCTTCGTCGTTGAATACCCAAAAATTAGTTGAAGAAAACATCGTCTGGAGCCTCGTGATATTTTCCAAGGAGCAATTTCTCCGTTTGATAATCTTGTAAGGATGTCTGGTCAGTGCTAAAAAATGACTGGACACAGTTTTAAAATACAATGGTCTGAGTTGCTCAAAGGAGCTCGTTTTTGTATGGTAAACACCTGTTGTTTGTTTGTGAACACTGCGTCCAACCGAGCATCTTGTCTGGTCGAAACATTCACTAGGTCTACCAAACCAAGTGTCTTCAGAAATGTTGAAGCCGCCTGCAGCAATACAGATAGAACAATCTAATTTAAGCAGTAACGTTGGAAAACTTGGTCCTCAAAATGGTATAACTCTGACACCGATGTGTCAGGAGCAATGTATATATTCCCAGCGATGACTGATTGAAAACCACTTAAGAACTTCGGTTTGCATTCAATTAAATGGAAACTTATGGAGATGGTTGAGTATGCGAATATTACGCTTGCTGAGTTGCACTAATGTTGATTAACATGTTATAACGCCACTACCACGAAACTGGGGCTTTCCGGTGCAGTCAGACCTGATGGGGAAATAACCAACGAGTTGAATTAACATATTTTCCACATCAGTATACAACCAGATTTCTTGTAACAGAATGACTCCTGTATTAACATACTCACTTCGCTGCGTGGTGGCACTGAGATCACTGATTTTACCGAGTAGCAAGCGAACATTACTGGAAAGCATCAATGGGACTTGTGCTTTGTCGAGCGAACAACGACTGAGGCCAGATTGCCAGCCAGCGTGACGCTTTCCCTTTTTCCCAAGACATTTATTTTTCATTCGCTTGAAGGTGTTCCTGACTTCATGACCGTATTCGATGAAGCACGGATTTAAGGCAGTAACGCATAACGTTTTCAAGTGGCTGATGGAGTAGCACAACACTGACCTTGAGACATGATCAGGAAAAATAAATTGCTTCAAGGTTAAAAATAAACTATAGAATCCGCAGTCGATAATATATGATAATCTTCTAACGAGAACAAAAAAGGCCGAATTTGAAGGCTTTTGAAACTAACATATTTGACTAGTCCCCTGATCTTTGCCTGTTTTTCCTGTATAATGAAGCGGTCGCTCAGTCTGCCAGTTGCATGTCTTCTTTTGATTCACAGGTGATTTTTCTTTCGCAGTTGTTGCTACAGGAGGTCGGTGTCAATGCGCATTTTGATCGAGTTATTGTAGGGGAACTGTGCTTCTAGGAATTCCCTCCCTCTTGGTGTCGCTTCTTTAGCCAGAATCTCTGTTTTGTTCCAGTCGAATCTACGTCCCTCCTCATAAACATACGCTGAGAAATATATACCGTCTTTTGCACGCCCTTTGATGTACTTGTATCCTAGTTGCAAATTTCCTTTCTGTCTGTCCCACATGGTTCTTTTCACAAATGCTGCAATTTCTTCGGTACACAACGTTTGTTCGTTCTTGTGACTTCCTGTTATCCTTCGAAGTTGACAGTTTTGTCCTCAAGCTAGCAGTTGGTTTGTGGGAAACTATGGTATGGTCTTGTGTGAACAATCTAGCCGTCATTTCAGATATGTTCTTCATGTACGACAGAACGGTCCGCTTGCTTGCTTTTGCATTTTCTCGGTAAGCTGTGTAGGCGCCCATTGCAATCAAACGAATTAAATAGGTCTTTCTTTCCTCCCTTTTTCGCTTCCACAGTACTACAATGTGTTTTAGTTTTACGAAAAAGCGTCCGTGTGTAGCTTATCTTGTGGTACTTTGGGCGGTTTCTGTTTGGGTTCAAAAGTTGGTCCCTATGTGTATTTTCCGATAGACGGATGTTTGAAATTCACCAATACATCCAAGAATGGGAGCCTGTTCTTTGGTTCCCACTCCATTGTAACTTTAACACCGAGCCAATACAAAAGCAAGCAAGCGCATCGTTTTGTCGTATATGAAGAACATATCTGAAATGATGGCTAGATTGTTCATACAACATCATACCATAGTTTCCCACAAACCAACTGCTAGCTTGAGAACAAAACTGTCAACTTCGAAGGATAACAGGAAGTCACAAGAACGAACAAACGTTGTGTACCGAAGAAATTGCAGCACTTGTGAAAAGAACCATGTGGGACAGACGGGAAGGAAATTTGCAGCTAGGATACAAGTACATCCAAGGACGTGCAAAAGGCAGTAGATATTTTCACTAGTCTCAGCACATGTTGGTGAGAAGGGACATAGATTCGACTGGAACAAAACGGAGATTCTAGCTAAACATGAGACACAAAGCCAAGTTGCCGACGCTGACCGCTTCTATGATCATTTATCAGTTCGAGTGCGTTTGTGTGGCCACTAACGTCGGTCTAACGGCGCGGCACCTGTCGATGC